CTAAGAGGGCCAGTGATTGAGGTCTTCTAGATGAGGTCGGAGAAGATAGGGTCGGAGGATCGCGCCGTATCGCCGATACATCGGCGATGCATAGTCGACGTCAGCGATGCATCGGCGACGCCGACGTGAAGCAAATCGGGCTCCCAATCGAGCCGCATCGGCCATGCATCGGCGATGCGGCGCGATCCTTCGACCCCATCTACTCCTACCCCATGTAGGAGGCCTAGAAGTGAGCAGCGCCGAACTGGGCTCAGGGGATGCAACATCGACCTGGAGTCGACGGTAGGTCGCCGATAGATCGGCGACAAGCCCTCAGCAACGAAGCCGTGCGCTCCCGGGGCATTGTGGGGCACTAAAAAGCCCCGATCGGCGCGGAGTGGGTGATCCGGGGTACATGTTTTCCCCCGTGAGCGAGTCCTCATGGGTCTGAAGAATATCCAGAGAGTCCTTCCCATGCCCAACACTAGCAACAGAAATGACCGGCGAACTCCGAGCACTGGGCTCATTTCTGGGGCTCTGGACAGGTCTGTCCGACTGTTCCTGGTCCCTGCTGGACCTTGCAGTGCAGTTGCGACGAAAGACAGATAGCATCAGAGAGGACTCAAGACTCTTCAGACGGCAACTCTCTACGAACAAACAAGATGTGAAATTGGTGCAATTATCCATGGGCGACCTTCGCAGTGCGGGGTCGGCCAGACGCGACTCTGACATGGCCAACCGACAACGGCCCTGGGGAAACGCGAACTCGAGGCCAGTCTCCAGGTGCCGGAACCTGAGCTCGCGCTGCGCTCCGAAGCTTGCGCCTATGGTGGCGTTGTGCGCGTTCGCCTCCCCGCCCTGCGCCTTCATTCGGTTCCCCTCGGGACGGTAGTTGTCGCGGTGGAAGTCTGTCCAGTCGGCTCCGTCGGCGTACAGGTTCACTATTGAGTACGCGACCTTCATGCCGAACAGCTCGCGCAAGAACTGCACGACGTACCTGTACGCTGGGGAAGCCAGGAGCTTCTTCTCATCAGTGCATGCGGGGTGGCGAGATCGTCTGTATGGTGACGCTTCCCACGGGGCAAGCTCGCTGTACAGCGCCTCGAACAGAGCCACGTCCTCCTCCTTGCACGCACAACGTGGCCAGTACACGGCGCAGCCTCCAGTGATGCTCTCGAAATCCCTGCGCAATCTGCGGGTCGTCTGCACATGCGTCGTCTCTGCCAGAGAAGCCAGGTCCCCGCGGCTGCGGTAGGAGAGCCCAGCGATGCCCTGGAACCGGAACAGGTCCTGAGGAGGGAGGTCATGGGGGGAGGAGAGAGACGAGCTGGAGACGCGCAAAAAGGGGGTAGGCTTCTCAGACGGGATCGGCCCCTTATTAGCGGCTTTCTGACAGAGCTTCCAAGGCGGGTTGCTTTCCTAGAAGGCCGCCCCCTGCCCGAAGGACACCGCCCAAAGGGGAGGGGACCAGGCCCAATGAGCGACATTGTGCAAAAAGCCGCCCCGAGACGACGAGCTCGCCCCCCTCAGTGAATCCAGAGCTCGCCCCCCCAGTGAATCTAGCTGGTCTCCAGGGACCCTGAAGCGCTCCATTACATTTTACCTTGGTGGTTGCAGTTGAAGCAAAGCCGGGCTGGAGTAAAACCATGTCCGCCACCGTGCCTTCAGGACGCAGGGGAGCGCTCCAAGGCTCACGCAGCCCTGAGAAAGAACTGCAAGGCTTTAGACGCCCGGACCAACGGATCCGCAAAGATTCCCGAACCTGGCAAACCAGGCAGTGGCAGGGAGGGTAGGGCCTGGATTTTTAAGAAAACTGTACATGCGAGCGACCTTTCATCCGATGCTTCTGTGCAGTGCCATTTCGGCTGAAGAGCCCCTGGAGGGCGAAAGCTACCTGCGCTTGGCATACAAAACACATCAGCATCCGAGCAGGCTTGATAGTCCTTTCGATCGGGGGCTTCCCGGGAATGCGCGGGGATTGCCAGGGATTCCCGGGGACTGCCGGGGCCCGGGGTAGCGCAGCTGGCCCAAGAGGGCGCCAAGACGGTCCAAGAGGGCCCCGGATGGCCGCACGATCGCTCCAACACGCCCGAAGAGGCCTCCAAGAGCCGCCCCAGGAGGGCCCGGAGAGGCCAGAATCAGCCGCCCCTTTGTGGGTCTCTAGGCGTGTGAGATTCTTCCCCCCCAAAAGCCCCCCCCCTGGGACCCCAAACCAGAAATGAGCCCCCCCCCCCTCCCTCCCCCCCCTGGCCGCGCACGACCCCCCGGCCGAACTCACCAGGGGGGGTCTGGCCCTCCCAAGTCACCTGTCTAGATTTGCAGAATCGCTGCCAGGTGGTCTCTGGTCAGACGCCTCCTTAAGCACACACAGACACACACGCACACACACACACACACACACACACACACACACACACACACACACGCACACGCACACGCACACGCACACGCACACGCACACGCACACGCACACGCACACGCACACAGGCACATACACACATGCGGGCGGAGCCCGTCCCGGCACGGGATGGGGTAACTGGTGCCTCAGCGCCTCACAGCAGTTTGTTTTCCGCGGCTGACAACAAAAGTTGTTATCCCAATCCTTCCACCTGTTTTTGTTTGCATCCATGTCAAGCCAATAATGCGGCGGGCGAGGGGGGGGAGCGATGAGAAGGTCTTCCCAAAGGCGGCGAGATTTCTCATAAACTCTCGCGCATTCTGAAAAAACGTTGTCTGCCTTCGGGGAAGGCTCACAAAGCTTTTCAGGAGGCTGGGGGGCTTCCGAGCCTGCTGAAAAGGCCCGCCCCTTGTCACTTCCCTTTTGGGTTTGCCGCCGATCAGAATCTCCCGACCAGTTTTTCGAGCCACGTCCCCGCAGCCCCCCGCGGCTCATCTCGGGCGTCGCCGCCGCGCCGAGGAGGTCCGAACCCGCGTGGTTGTCGCTGTCGCTGTCGTTGTCGCTGTCGAAGTCGTGGCCGTCGTCGTCCTTCTGGGTCGGCGGCGCTGGGCTTGAGGCCTTCACCGCCTCCCGGCCAGGCGTCGCCACCGCGCCGAAAACCCCCGCCGCCGTCGCCGAGTCCTCTGCAAAGCGCGCCCCGAGCCTCCTGGCCTCGACCAGCCCGCGCTGCTGCGAGGCCGCGGCCGCGGCGGCGGCGCCGCAGCCGGCCGGCGCCCCCACCAGGAGTTCCGCGTCGCCCCCGCCGTCCTCCGCGCTCTGCCCTCCTGCGCCCTCCTCCGGCCCCGACCCCTGCCGCCTGCCGCAGCGCTCCTCCGCCCCGCCCCCCCCGCCTCCCCATGCGCCGTCCCGCTCCGCCCCCCCCTCCTCTGCTTCCTCCCTGCCTCCTGAAGACCGGGGAGACGTGAGACTCGGGTTCGGGGGGGCTCGGGTTGGCCTGACGGGGTCATCACGCAAATGACGAGACCCAATCTGAGATTCTTCACGCTTCGCGAATCCCCAACAGCCCATTCAGAAGCCCTGCCCTTGGAGAGCTGACGGAAAAAGAGACGAAAAAAACACATCTAGAGAAACAAAGCGAACAACCAGGGTGAACCGAGAGATCTCTGGGAGCAGGGGGGTGGCATTGGAAGGCCTCTTCGGGACATCCCTGGGGGCCAGCCACGTGGGGGCGAGGGGAAGAGGAGGAGGAGGAGGAGGAGGAGGAGGACGAGGAAGACGACGAGGACGAGGACGCGGATGAGGACGAGGACGAGGACGCGGATGAGGACGAGGACGAGGAGGACGGGGACTAGGATTAGGACGACGCGGACGAGGACTCATGGAAACGTCTAGAAGTATTTTTGCGGCCGCTGCTGCTGCTGGTGCTCTCTGGGAGTTTCGGGGGCCCTCTTGGGACCCTCTTGGTAACCCTGGAAAGCTTCTTGGGATCATCTTGGAAACCATCGATTACAGAATGGGGGGTCCCCACCTCAGCTCCCCCCTCAGGAGCCCGCAAACCGCTTCTTTGGGGCTCTCTTGGAGCGCGATTGGGCGCGTTTGGAGCGGTCTTGGGGCTGTTTGGAGCATCTTGGGGGCCATCTTGAGCCAGCCTGGGCTATCTGAGCCATAGTGGAGGTCATCTTGGGCTCTCTGAGACCGCTCGGGGGCCTCTTGGCGGCCTCTCGGGCGGGTGCCCCTTGGGGCCTCTTCGGACCCTCTTGGGACCCTATTGGGGCTGTCTTGGGGCTCTCTTGGGAGCCCTCGAGCGCCTCTTGGGCGATTTGCCACCCTCCAGGGCCATCATAATCGCCTCTTGGGGCCCTCTTGGGGCGCTCTTGGGGCGATCTTGAGCGCTCTTGGCGCCGTCTTTGGGGCCTCTTGGACCCCTCTTGGAGCTTTCTTGGGCCATCTTGGGGCCATGTTGAGTCCTCAAAGGCGCATCCGAAGCGAAAAGGCGAGAAGGCAACAATCATTGATGTTCCTTTGGTTTTCGATGGATTTTGGTTTCTCGGGAGGGCCCCGAAGGAGCTCCAAAAGCACTTGGATCCGTCTTGTGGCCCTCTTGGGGCCTCCTGAAGGCATGTCGGAAGCTGTCTTGAACCATGTTTGGCTATCTTGAGCGATGTTGGAGGCCATCTTGTGCTCCCTGAGGCCCTCTTGGAGCCAGCTTGGGCCATCTCGGGCGCTCCAGTCGCGAAACCCATCGTCCATGTCCAGGGGAGGGGGTAGGGGGAGCGGTAAACCCCTCCCCGAAAGGGAAGAGGAATTTTTGGAAGAGGTGAAAAAGAATCTCGTTAGACCACCTGTCGTCCAACTGGTGGGGTTTGACGCGAACTCCCGCTGCAACGAAAACCGGACTGTCAAACCCAAGACGGCTCGTCAAAAAGCGTCGCCAAACCCGAGTTCTGGCGCACTCGAATCTTACGTTCCCCAAGAGGAGATCACCTTAGAAACGTGAACACTCGATGTTCCTGCCCCGTCTTCCTCGACCGCGGCCGCGCCCACCTCTCGAAGCGGACGACAAGGTTGCAAATAAGCTGCATCCGTCTGTTTTTCCCGGAGCCTGGAAGGCTACCGTGCACCGAGGGAAGGCCCTCGCCAGGGGGCCACGACCGGCTCTGCACGCGGCAGGCTCCGTACATAGTACCCTGCAGGAGCCCCTTATCCCGCATGTCACTGAAGGGCAACGAGAGGGGAGGACTGGCATCGGCGGGAAAACATCCACCAAGAATCGGCGAATATCGCCGAGCGATAGGCCCCCGATAGCACTTCCGCACGCTCCCAGGCTGGGTGGGGTTCTCGGGCCCCTATCGGCGCTCAGTGGGTGATTGGGGATCGATGCATCCCCCCCTGTGCCTATCCTCAGGTCGGGCGTCCTCCTACAGGCGGATCTGGGAAGAAAGGGACAGCATAAGTATACAGTCATCATATGAATACTAGTAATACTATAGTACATAATACTACTACAAAATTCCAATATAATGACTATACATATCAGAACAATACTACTATGCGTGTGTATATATATATATGTATAAAGAGAGATTGAACAAACACACAAGATCCCTAAACATCGTGCTCGGTGCCGCGCTGTGTTATGTAAGAAGAGAGAAAGGTGCCGAACTGAAGGTGCGGTGCTGATGACGGTGGGGAGAAGACCCTACCTGCCGATTTCCCCTCGGGGAGGTAACGGACTCTTTGTTGCATGGGGAGAAATAAGACAGGGAGTCAAGGTGGCCGCAACCACTTTGGCTAAAGCCCGATCCTGACGACGAAACAAGTCCTCACCGTGGGCCAGATTTGCCCATGGTAGCGGAGCCCGCGGCTTGACTGCGGGACTCCTGGTGACGACGTAAAAACAAAATCGACTGCACCGCGGACACGCGTGGAGTCAGACAGAAGTTTCATGAGCTTGATTCCAGACGTGTCTGCTGCCGATGGTGTTTTTAGATTTCGAGGCATATGGGAAATAAAGGTGGAGCCCTATTCTTGGTGGCCGCTGAACTGTTGGGAAAACCGAAGACCC